CCCCATTTCTGAAGAAGGGTCTAGACCCGAAACATCAGCCTTCCTGCTCCTCTGATGCTGCTTGGCCTGCTGTGTTCATCCAGCTCTACACCTTGTTATCTCTGGGTAGGTTGGAACTTCTTTCACTGGAGCATAGGGGTTTGAGAGGCAACCTGATAGAAGTTTATAAAATAATGAGGGGTAAAGATAGTGTTAATGGTAGTTTTCTTTTCCCTAGGATTGGGGATTTCAAGACCAGGGGACACATTTTTAAGGTGAGAGGAGATTTAAAAAAGACATGAAAGACAATTTTTTTTAAACAGAGGATGGTTCGCATGCAGAATGAACTTCTGTGGAAATGGTGGATACGGGTACAGTTACAGTGTTTAAAAGACGTTTGAATAGGTACATGAATAGGAAAGATTTGAAGGGATATGGACCAGGTGCAGGCAGGTGGGACTAGTTTAGTTTGGGATTATGTACGGCATGGACTGGTTGGACTGAAGAGTCTGTTTCTGTGCTGTAAGACTCTATGACTATGACCAATACAAATCACAAAACTTGATGGTTTGGTTTCACAGCCTTTTTGATTCTTTGAAGACACTCTGGTGTTATCTGTACAACAAGGATCAAACTGGTGATTGGTTGGACCCAAGGTCTTTATCTTCCATTTGGGTTTTAGAATAATTTCTATCAGCTTGCTTACATGACTACCCAGCCACAGATAATCAAGGAAATTTGATATCATGAAATGAGATATGATCGATGAATAATATATTTTATGTTGCTCTTATTGAGAAATTGCCAACTGGTCATTAGGTTACACACGCCCCTCAGTACTACACAGAGTGCTGGAGAAACTCAGCAGGTCTGACTGCAGCTGTGGAGAGAGAAACAGAGTTAACATTTGAGTCCAAAGATAATTCTTCAATTCTGAAATGTTGAAACCTTTGAGTTTCTCCAGCGTTTTCGGTGTTTGATCGGGATTTCCAGCAGTATTTTGCTGTTACTCTGTCAGTATAAGTAGCAGGTGCCGATGTGCTCCCACTGGAGTTGTGATGTCTCATTTATGATGAACAACAAGAGAAGTGTACATACCTTTTTAATGCGCAATGTTTGAGAAAGCATGGCAGACAACATCTCTGTGAAAACACACACAGCCCTGTTTCATTCCATTTCGGAATGGAAAGCCATTAGAAGACTCTCCACTGTCTTGGATTTGAGCAAACTTGTCATCATGTAATCACCGTCCCACAGTGATGAATATTACTGTACAGTGCAATTTTGTCATAATCCTCAAACACCATTTTTGAACCTCACAACTAACTGTTCAAAGACTTCAGACATTGGTTTTATTTGTTCTCCAGAT